GCTTTTAAGATGATTCAGAGAGGGCGACCTGGATTTAGGTCTCGGGTGTCCCATTGTAATGTTGGAATCACATTACCCTTAAAAGGGTGGCGTTATGGGGAAATTTTGAATCTTAGGTGAGAATGCAGACCATTCCATTGTGAGAATATAACATTCTGATAACTACAAACCAAGATAATATGATCGATGAAACAGGGAGATAAAAATTGGAAACAATATTCACTTGGTTCGAGTATTGGAGATCGCATTTCGGATGATGTTGGAATATCGACTCAATGGGAATCAAACAAAAATTGAAGGGAGGTTCGAATGATCATAAGGAGATTCCATATGAGTTCAACGGAAGAGGATATTCTGGCGAGTCTTCGGCTAAGTTTGAGAGAACTGAAGAGGAAGGATACTGAATTAACTGTGTGTTGCTTTGGAATGAATTCAGAAGCAATTACACGAGAAATCAAGCCTTCTGAATGAATCAGATTGAGTGGTGGAGGAGATATTATGGCGGTTCATGATCCTTCTCGGACTGATGTCCTTTTTGAAGTTGATGCTAACAGAGTTAAAGGTTAATAGGGAAGGTTAAAGCTTCACTTGAGGAGCATGTTGAAATTAATCGAGATGCTGACAAGAATATCGAGAGTAGTACCTTGAATAGAGATGATGGTTTCAATATGGGTAGCGATTCTGTTTCTCTGCAACTAAGGTAGACCTGTATCATTTGCGGAGGACTCTTAAGGACATAAAGGGTCAGGAAGATTTTGTGACTGATGATTTGGACAATTTCTTTCCAAAAATTGAGCATTTGAGAAAAAACAAAAAATCAAAAAGGTATGGATATCTTCTGAAACTACAAAATCAAGTTATATCGGTTCCAAGTAGAAGAAAAGAGATCAAGCGTTTAAGAAGCTCAAATTGAAGATAAAAGATTTGGAGTCCTCATATTTATCAAGAATGTCATTATCTGATTCAGATTTTAAAGGTAGATGGTTGGTTGCATATAAAGAAGTCGAGAAAACTTTGGAGTTGGGTAAAAGCCTTGGTAACCAAATATCTTGCGAGGAGCAGGAGGTGGTGAAGGAATTAACATTGTTAGAAATGAATTAAGTTGCACTGAATCGTGTTAGGGTCCGATGGCAGTTAGTAGTGTTGTGATGATAATTCTCTATAGGTTTGTTAGACGTTTTTAGGAGGGAGCAATGTCTTTTGTTTGTTTCTTATTTTTGTAGGAGTTTAGAGTTGAAATGTTGTTGTCGTATGAGTGTGAAGATGAGATTTTAGTTGACTCTGACTTTTGTCAATTTTGGGTGGATTTTTCTTTATCAGTAATCATGATTGGTCGGAATCATAAGGAAAATGGTCTAATGTCTTGCTAGTGCTGGTTGTCTCGGCCATTCTTTTTCGTCTATTGCTGGTTGTTTAGCTTTTGTGAGGGAGATGAACAACCTTTTTGCTGTGATAGGAGTTGTTGGTCAAAGTGGTATTCCCCGAAGAGTATCCAATTGTTCTTCCTTCAATTTGATTGGTTGTTTGGTTGCTCAAAGTAGTTCAATGTTGTTATGTGCCTTGTGATCGAAATGGAGTGGCACATTGCATTGCACTTGATGGGGTGCGTAGAACCGATTACTTTCGGATTATTTCTGATGTTGGTTAATGTTGTGCATGCTTACGGTGCTGATTTTTTCGTATCTAGAGGGGGAAGTGTTGTGATGGTGCTAATCGATCTGGACGACCTCTACAGTTGATGGAGTCTTCGTTAGTTGCTCTGCTTGTTATGTTGGCCTTGTCATTGTCGGTTATGTCGATAACCAATCAAAATTTTGAGGTATGGTATGGAGTGTTTTTAGTTGAGTCAAGCAACTGTATTTTGTTGCTTCATCTAGATGATGTTAGCTTTGTTTTTTTCTGCTCGGTTTGTCTGTGTTGGTTCTAGAGATGATGTTTGCATTAAGTTTTTTAGAGTGTCATTGAAGGTGCTGCTGTTGCACAAGGCTATTGTTTGTTGTAGCGTTGAAATGTTCTCATCCTTGTCTTTGGTCTATGGGCTTCAAATTTGAAGGGGTATCTTCGTGTGTTTTGTGTTTTGTTTCGTTTGTATCGTTTGGAGTTGTATTTTGCTCCTAGTCAAGAGTACTTTTTTCCTCCACTTAAGTTTAGGGAGATTTTTAACGAGACTCTTGACTCAAGTTTTTTTTAATAAAAAACTTTATTTTGCAGAGCAAAAAAAAACACTGTTAAATGAAATGTATCACGTCATATTTAAAAAAGATTTTTTAAAATAATATTTTATTTTTCAAAAAATATAAACATGATATTTGTCACTTAACGATTTTTAACGGTAGACAACTGAAAGTATAACGAAAAAACATTAGACACCTATTTTTAACAAGTTCTTTAAACAACGAAAACTTATTTTGAGTATAATTTAGACAAATATTTTTATTTAAGTTAATTTTACATTAGTATTAAATTAATAAAAAATGAATAAATATATTACTGATATCTTATAATTTAGGTATTAACTTAAATATGGAAGAAAAAGTTTGACAATGATGGAATCAAATTGATCTGGAGAGGGAATTATTGAATGAAAAGTAAGTTGCCTTTACAGCCAAAGCATTCTGATTGAAGATTGATGTTTCAGAGAAAAATGATTATGTTACAAGTGTAGCGACAATGATCAGCTGCGAGGTTTTCTTATTGGATTTAAAATATAAATAATTAAATATCGATAATAAATTAATTTAATAAGATAAGACATTAATTTTTTAAATAAGATTAAAAATTAAATCTTAACGTTTACGAATAAAATAAATTAGACTAAGGGAATAACCCTCCTCTTTCCAGAATCAGATTCAAAATAATAGATTAGACTACAAGAAAATATAAATAAATAAAAAGGTGAAAATTTTTTAGAGAGACAAGGTTGGGGCCCGTGAGAAGTGAGTCGACGAAGACAAAACACGAAGGGCAAATGGAGAGGAGACCCTCCAAAGAGATTATCAGATGTAGGGTATAAAAAAAATATCTTATCTGATTAGTTTTACCGTAATATAACTTTAATATATAGTTATATTATTATTTTTTAACATTTTCAATAAAAAATTATCTAAAACATTAGTTTTTTTTACCTAAAACATTAATTTTTTTTCAACATTTCCGGTAATAAAATGTCAAATATTAACATTTTTCGGTAGAAAAAAAAATAATGTTTTAGGTAACGCTTTACCGGATATGTTAAACATTTTCGGTAAAAGCCCAATAATAACATTTTCGGTAGAAAAAATAATGTTTTAAGTTATTTTTTACCGGAAATGTTAAAAAAATAATAACATTTCCAATATCGTCTTTCTTTAGCCGTATATTATACTGTCGCACGTGAGATTTCCCCGTATCCGAATAATCTAATTCGATAATATGATGATACGATTTAAATATTCAATTATCTGATTCAAAAAATTTTAAATATCTGATTAAAAATTAGATAATCGAATCAAATATAAATCAATAAAATCTCAATTTCGAATTATTCAGATATACAAAAAGTAATGGGTCTTTTGTCCTAAACCCAGTAACTCTATATTTCATGGAAAACTTTTCCAAATCTCAGCCTGCAATAATAACTGGGCCGTTAGTTTTCACTTTAAAACAATCCCAGCCTACAATGATAATGGGCTGTTAGGATTAGGGAAGGCAATTCAACCCGAACCCGATGGTTCCGACCCGATCAGGTCGGATTTTTTTAAAAAATTTTGAGGTCGGGTCTGGTTTTTTTTAAATGCACTGTTTGGGTTGAGTTTAGGGTGAAAAAAAACCCGACCCGACCCGACCCGAAAAATATATATGATTTTACATATATATTTAGGGATAATTACTATATTACCCATCTATATATAATTTTTTTTTCAATTAAATCACTGTTTTTATTGAATAAAAAAATATTTTTTAATTATTTCGGGTCGGGTCGGGTTTCTAAGTCATATATTCGGGTCGGGTCACGAGTGGAGGACCCTTTCTTCTCGGGTCGGGTGACCCAAAAACCCGATCTGACCCGACCCATTGCCATCCCTAGTTAGGATGATTATATTTAGAGTAAAGTATATAAATAGTCCTCAAATTTTAGGTGTTTACATTTTGATCATTCAACTTTTAAAACTTACAATACAATTATAGAACATTCAATTATTTTTCAATAAGATCCTCTCATTTCTTCCCGTTAAGTTTTACTGAGGTGACCCTTAACTAGCGTTATCTTCTTCTCCTCCATATTTAGCCTTTGAATAGAGTTGCAGTGTCTGTATGAATGAAAAAATTTGTACTATAACCATGGAAATGCATTGAGATTTCCTCCGTTGAATCCTTTAACATCAACAAGGAACAATTCAAAACAAACACAGAATCAAAAGTTCACGGCTTTCGATCTGTGACGGATCCAAAAATTTAAGAATGAGGATCCAAAATTTTAATTTTCTTATCTTAAAAATAATGGGTATGCAAAAATTGTAATTTTTTTTAAGAAGATGACGATTCGATGTCGCTTGGGTTCTGGGATGGGAAGGGGTTTGTTTTCGAATCCCTCAAAGTGGATACAAAGATTCCATGGGCGCAGAAGATTATTTCCTATTTTAACTCTTCATCTTAATGCAATTCAATTCAAAAATTTATATACCCTTCATCCAAACTCAAACATAAAATTATCTTATTACCCTTAAGTCGTGTCGAAAATTTTAACCTTTCACCTAAATCCGACATGATCTCATTCTATTTATAACTTGAACTCAAACTTAACTAAAAAAATTCTATCAAATTAGATCGGATTAAAATTATTGATTTTAAATTAAATTATGATTCCTAATTTAATGCCTTTAAAAAGAAATTAATTAATCATATAGATTTTTGACATTCAATTGAATTAACTAAATGATTTGACTATTTTTATGGTTAGTTATTGTAAGTTGTTATTGTCCCACAAACTATAATTTTACCAATAAAATTTATTTTAAAAGTTTCATGAAAATTCGACTTAGTTTTATTTCATATATTATTTTCATCAGCAAATAATAATTGGACTTTGGCTATTTATCCCCGTTTCTTTGGAATCCAATAGTTTTGCTTCACAGACCCGCTTTTCCGATTCTAAGATAAACAGGAAAATTAACCAGTTTAGGTCCACCATCGTCACCCCAAGCACGCTTGAAGTCCTCAACCACATCCTCGCTCAAAAGCTCCACCCCCTCCTCCTTGGCCTTCTGGTACGCCGACCACGATCTCAAGTAAATAAATACTCCTCCAACCCCATCGTCCTCTCATTCCCCAACTCAAACGGTCCCGTGTTACCATCCCCATCCACGCCCTCAAACGGAAAATCAATCGATTTGTACTTATCATCCACCAGCTTCCGCTGCGGATCCCAGTACGGGTTCTCGTAAAACCCTTTCAAAACCTTGTCGACGGACTCGTCGACTTCAGGTGTGGTGTAGCACCACGCGGCGATGATCCCATGTGGTTTCTTGAGTACCCATTTCACCTGTTGGTAAAACACCGGGAGGTCGAACCAGTGCAAGGCTTGAGCCACCGTCACTAAATCCACACTCGATTCAGCACCCACTTTTTGCTCGAGCTCCGAATACGACATCGTCGGAGAGGTGTCATGGTATCGGATGTTGGGGAGTTTCGTTGCGAATTCGAGCTGTTTGGAGCTCGTATCTGTTGCGATGACGGACCTGTAAATCTCGGCCAAAGATCGGGCGGCCTGACCGCTGCCGGTGCCGACGTCCCAGACGAGATCATGGTGGGGAGTCTTGGAGGCAATGAACTGGAATAATTGCGGTGGGTAGCTTGGGCGAGCTTGTGCATATTGCTTTGCCTGCTTGATGAACAATTTGCCATTGTTGTTTACTCTTTCTATTGATAAATGATGAGGGACCGATCCTCTCTTTTCTTATATATGTTTGGACTGTACTTGATCTCCAAGGGAAGAAGGAAGGACCGTAGAAAAAGAAAACACGGAACAACTGGTGAAGCGGTAACTTGGGCTTGCCAAGTTTGACCTATTCAACTTCAAATCTTATATATAATCCATCTCTATCATTATAACTTTTGCACAATTCTAAGGATTAAATTAAAAATAATACTTAAACTACGTTAGTATCTAAATAATTTTGTGGTTATTAGATACTTAAATTATTATATGTAACCATTTTAAGTATCTTAATTATTTTTTTTGTCAAAACAAGTCTCTAAACTATATTTTTCTGTTTTAAGCCCTTAAAATTTTTTGTCGGAATAAGTACCTAATTTTATATTACGTGTCAATATCTTATTGGTTAAAAATATTTTCTAACAGAAAAAATATCAGGACTCAAAATAATTAAATAAATAGTTTAAATTCCTAATTTGACCGAAAATTAGTTTAATTACCTAAAGAAAAAAAGGAATATTTTAGTTACTTATTTTTAATTCTAATATAAGTTGTTAAAAAGAGTTAATTATTTAAGAGTTCTCCAAATTATAATTTCATTTTATATTAATCACTAAAGTTTAAAATATTTTATTTTAATCTTAAATTAGGGATGGGCAAAACTCTTTTCGACTTGAACAAACTGATTTTCTTTAATTTCGAGTTATTTGTGTTGAGCTATTCGAGTCAAATTGGATTTTAATTTTGGTTTTGACTTCGATTCGAATTTACCAATTTGAAAACCCAAAAAATTGAATTTGACAGTTTACCATTTAGTTAATCTTCAATTCCTCCTTCATTTTAAGTATATTTTTTACCAAATTTAAAACATGTACTTCTAAATTATTTTAGAATATGTATGCATCTTCAATTCCTCTTTTTTAAATCCAAAATTCTTATTTTTCAATTTAGTCTTTTAACTTTGCATGATTTCTTTAATTACTCTTTCGTAATAAGCCCATTTTCGACAAAAAATAAATCACATGCTCTAATGACACTATAGAATACCTATGTAACTTCAGTTCCTATTATTAGTAACAATTGTATTATTTTTTTTAATTTAGTCATATTTTGATCAATTGTTTGACTTTTCGTCCAACAATTCATTTGATTCCTTTATACTCTCATCAATATTTTTTCTCAAAATTATCTTATTTAAAAATAACATTATAAATACATTTTATAATTTGAGATGTTATTTGATTTATTAAATAACATTACAAATCTTAATTACACGTTGAAAAAGAATATGAAGAAAATATATCTTATGTGATAAGCGAAAGTCATTTAAATTAAAACTATATACTAATATTATAAAAGAATTGTAATTAATTTTAAATAAAACCTCAAAAAATCAAGTCCAAAAAAATTCAAATCATAAAATATGACTCATTAATTCGATTAACTTGAAATTTTTTATTTTAACTCGATCAAATATTCACCGTATCTTAGACAAGTAAAAATCTCAATAAAACATTTCAGCTAATGAGAATCAAACCTCGAGTTACAAAATTCCTATACCAGCCATGTTTGTTATGAAATTGAGAATTACTTTGGCTGACGTAAGTGATGACACAATACTTATTCTTCCGTATTATATTTAGATGTCTACGTTCATTTTATCTCCACTATTTTTTCTTTTATGGAGTAGTATTTTAGTAGGACATTAAGCGTTCGTTTGGTTTTAGAAAATATTTTATATTTTTATTTTTTGTTTCTATTTTTAGAAAATAGTTTTTATTTTTAATTTTTTGAAAATTAAAAATCATGTTTGGTTAATATAAATAAAAACTTGAAATCAAAACTAAAATATTAAAACTATATTTGATATCTAATTTTTTTAAAATAGAAATAAAAAGAATAGTTATTAAATAATTAAATTATATTATAATGATTATCAATCATTACACAAATTTAATATATGAGTTATACAAATATAAAACAATAAAGTTGGTAAGAAATTTCATAACACAAACTTTATTTTAGTTTATAATAAGAATATAATGTTAATGAATATTAGACATTAATTAAGTTTTAAAAATACACAAAAGTATTGTTATAAGTAATAGCACACAAAAGTGTCATTAACATAAAAAAAATATGTTTAAGACCCTCAAACTTCTGGGAAAAATAATTAGTGTAATCCCTGAACTGTTCTTTTGCACCAATTGTGGCCGTTAAACTTAGAAAAAAATAATCTAACCTTTTGAACAATCAAATCAAATATTGATTGTCACAACGTTTATATGACATTTCATAAACTTACATGGCAATCTACAATACTGTTGTGAAAGTTTATGATATTGTTTTGATAATACTCGATAGAAGATGATTTGGTAGATGAACTTAATTGATTATTTTAGAAAGTTTGAAAACTTATCAATTTAAAAAAAAGAAAATTTTATTTAAATTAAAAATATAAAATATAAACAATTATTAAGATATTCAATAAAATAAATATAAAAATATTATAGAATTAAATTATTAAAAAATTAATTTAAGGATTACATTGAGTGTAAAAAAGTTTAGGGACCATATTGATTTTTTTTCAAAAGTTTGAGGGTTTCAGATACTATTAAATCAAAAAAATTAATATTATAATGATTTAAATATGGGTAAGTTAAGTTAAAAATCTAGATATAATGTTTCCTTATTGTTTGAATTTTCAAAACAATTTTAATAAAAATACTAAAATTAACTTTTTTATGTTTTCATATTTTCACTTACTTTTTTTTTTATTTTCTAATTTTACAATTTTTCTTGAACATTTTCTATTTTCTGTAAAAATAAAACCAAAATAACCTATATTTTTTTAAAACCAAACGTACCTAATATTCTAAAAAATTAATTAAATATGTAAGATTTGACAAGGTTGGTAATGATCCGTACCATTTCATTCCACGTGGCACTATATTTAAATAAATTTTTTTTAATAATTAATATTTATAATATGATATATGTTTATAATTTTTAAATTTTTTAAAAAATAACCTTATATACGTAAATAATCGAATTTAAAACTTAAAAGAAAAAAACACTCCACACTACATAAGTTTTAAATATATTATTGAACTCTTAACAAATGGTTTAGACTCTGAAAAAGGGTGTTAAACGGGTCAAACTTGGCAATGGGCAGCTGAAGCTTCACTAGATGTGCCTTTTGGTTTTGGGTAGATGGGGTACACAATATTCTTTCTTATGGTTCAATGAATTAACCCACCGTACCATTTGCTTCTGCTTTTCTGAACCTATAAATAACTAAGAAAACAGACAAGTGGTCACTCCTCATTCATCAAACCAAAGCAAAGAGATAAGGAAAACGAAAAACGATGGCAAATTCGTTCATCAAGCAATATGCAGGAGCTCCACCAAGCTACCAGGCAAAGCAGTATGCACAAGGTCGCCCAAGCTACCCACCACAACTATTCCAGTTCATTGCCTCCAAGACTCCCGACCACGATCTTGCCTGGGATGTCGGCACCGGCACCGGCCAGGCCGCTCGATCATTGGCCGAGATATACAAGAATGTCATAGCGACTGATATGAGCCCCAAACAGCTCGAATTCGCACCGAAACTCCCCAACATCCGATACCAGGAAACCTCTCCAACGATGTCGTATTCGGAGCTCGAGCAAAAAGTGGGAGCAGAATCGAGTGTGGATTTGGTGACCGTGGCTCAAGCCATGCACTGGTTCGACCTCCCTGTGTTTTACCAACAGGTGAAATGGATACTCAAGAAACCTCATGGGGTCATCGCTGCATGGTGCTACACCACCCCACAAGTCAACGAGTCCATGGACAAGCTCCTTGAATCATTTTACGAGAACTCGTACTGGGACTCGCCACGGAATATGGTGGACGATAAGTATAAATCGATCGATTTTCCGTTCGAGGCCGTTGATGGAACGGCAAACACCGGACCATTTGAGTTCGTGAATGAGAGAACCATGAGTTTGGAGGAGTATTTTAGTTACCTGAGATCTTGGTCGGCGTATCAGAAGGCTAAGGAGAAGGGCGTGGAGCTTTTGAGTGAGGATGGTTCAAGACTTCAAGCGTGCATGGGTGAAGATGGGAACCATGGCCCTAAACTGGTTAATTTCCCCATTTATCTTAAAATCGGAAAAGTAGGTATGTGAAACAAAAGTCGCACCCTATAACATAAAATCCTAAATCGTTTCAGCATCGAAACTCTCTAGTTCCAATCAGCCTGAACTGCATGATTCTTTCGACACTTATTGCAAATCCATTTCTTTTAACTATGTTTTACTGCTCAACAAATTAAACTTGAAGCTCCACAAGCTGAATGGATATAGATATTTTATTGGTATACCAAGCAATACTACAAAGCAAAGACATTTTATTTCAGAACAAAATATCATGTCCTGTTACAGTAAAACGATTCAGATTGCAAGGTAAATGGACATAAATGGAAACCCTTCAAGTAATGGAAGAATTTTGTACCATAGACCGTCGTGATCAGAGTAGCCGTTGAAAGCCTCTAATCATTTCAGTGCACTGCAACAATGAAAGACCTCGTTACAAAATTGAATCAAAGGCATTGCAAACTAAAAGAAATGAATCACACACACACACACACACACACATATATATATATACATGCAGTGATATAATATCATAAAGGAAAGAGGGTACAAAAGGGAGCTTACTCGTATAAATAGAAAGCAATACCCAGAATTATACACAGCAGAATAATGTCAATGCAGAAATTCCGACTGGATCTTATCTGCCAAAAAAGAATGTCTAATTTATCCTGGAAATTTAGATGGGAGGAATTTGACAGATGAAACAATCATTTGTATGATTACCTCGGTAATGGCTTGCTTCAGTCTGACATTATTCTTTCGAAGCTCCAATGCCGTCTGGTCAACCTGTAAAATAACCATATTAACATTAAGTGATACATTTTATGAATCCTCTCCATGATGTTTGATTAACTGATTCTAAGGCTAAACTAATGAGACATGGAAATTAAAACAAAATCTCTCACCTTTGTATCTATCTCATCCATCAGAGGAACTTGTCTGTCTAATTCCTGAACATATCGAAAAATAAATGATTTAATCTATTCTTGCTCCTAAATATCATGACCAAACCAAAAACTATACACATACTAACAAACCTCATTCATGTCAAGAGCTATATTTTTCAGTGCATTCAAACCTTCTGATATCGCATCAAGTCCTTCATCCTGCATTCATGTTAATGCATAAAGATATCAGAGACTACTCTGGATTGCAGAGTGGATATTAAAGATGAAATAACAACAATCTTACATGCCTGTTTCATTTTCCTCATTTCATATTCGTTTCTAAATTGGTCCGATTCTTCCGATTGTTCATAAAAATCACTAGAGAAACACTCCTCTGAAAGTCCGATAATGGAAAGTAACCAAAGATCAATTTTAGAATGCACTTAAGGTAACTTTAACTTGAGGGATAAGCATTACCCTAAATTACCTGACGAGTCAAATTTGATATTTTGGTTCAATGATGAAGTCCCCCATCCACCGATCTGGTTCATAGAAGGTGTAGATCCATCTGGAATGGCTTTAATCCGTTCAATAATCGCTAGTACCAGTTCGAAGCGAGTTTCTAGCTCCTCTTTGGAAAGTCCCTTGACCTATAATTAGAAACCAATAGCATATTCAATAGAAGTCCATTGTCAACCTTATGTAGACTTGAGTTACCATAATCAGTCAGGAATTCAAGACAATGCTTAACATTATTTAACATTGGCAAATCCAATGCCTAAGCTTTCTTTTACTAGTAATCCAAGAATTTTTTTCACGGGAGCAGCATGACCCACTAGCTGATTCATATCATTGAATTTGAATTGCAACAGAGAAATCCAATGATTTTGATTACTCAAAAGGCTGAAAAAATAAATAGAATTATACCTTCTTTTTAGCCAATTTTTGAAGCTTAGGGACTTCTTCCATCAATTTAGCCTTTGTCCGACGAACCTCAGCGTTCAATGCCACCGCCGTTGCTCTACTCTTCTCCGTAGAAACCTTCTCAGCTTTCTGCATGTTTCATTTCAATAGCATGTTCTTTCTTTAAAACAAATCACCGTTTGAAAAGAAAACAATAGAAGAGATTAGGAAAAAGGAAACGAACCTCGATAGTCCTATCGATATCGGCGTCGACGGTAGCGTAGAGGCGAGAAAAGGCATCATCGGAAGAGGCACTGGCTTCGCGATGGTTCTCGGGATCGTACTTTTCGTATTTCTTGCAGATTTCGTCGATTCGGAAAAGTATATCAACCACCGTCATTTTAAACTATCAGTTTTTGGGAAGTACCAAAGTGGAATGATGAAAGAAATAGGAGAAAATGAGAAAAGGATTTGGTTTTTCTTTTACCGATTCAAGCTCCATGAATTGTTATGTTTGCATGTAGTGTTTCTAATTTTGGAGGGGAAATTCATGGTGGAGCGGATACATGGGTATGAGAACTGAAAACTGATGCAACAGCTCAAATTCTACTACTATGGTTTAGTAGCGGACCACGAGGCTTCATTTTCGCCGCCGCCCGCTGCCGGAGTTGGAGTTGATCGAATCCGACTTTCACACTCGTTTTCAAAATGTTAACGTACAACAAGAAAATGTACGATTAATGAATACTTTCAACCATTTGAAAAACATAAAAAGTACTCGAAAAATTACTTAGAAACTTTGATAAACCATTAGAAATTTTAGATACTTATTATATAGTAATTTTAAATGTATGTTTAAATTTTTATTATTTGTTGAAAATTGTGTACTTAAAAAGTTTGATAGTGATTAAAAATTATAGATATTTACTAAAAGAATTGACATTACAATAAGATAAAAAAAAGTTAAAGATATCATTTTATTGAGTCAGTCGAATCAATGAAATAGTCGAGAATGGTGAATTGACAATTAAAACATTGATGGAAGCTTTTTTCAAGAGAATGAAAATTTGACACGAATAATTTTAAAGTGGTTCAACTTCTTCAATGAAGTCTACATTCACTACCTTAGCTTCCACACTAGGATTTCAACAAATTCAATAATTTGTTCAAAACTTTTAGGACAAGGTATAACCTACAACACACTTAGACTTATATCCCATGTTTCAAGTGTACAACTCTCCTAAAAAGAAATTACAAACAGAAAGCTTAGAAAACCTCACTAAGAATATGTTTGCATAATTCAAGAACAAAGAAGAAAACTAAACAAATGAAATAAATAAGTACAAAAGTGTTCTTTGAAAGCAAAAAGAATATTGGAGAAAGTTGACTTGATTTTTGGCTCAATGTGATTGCATTTGGCTTTCTCTATAATTTTTTGTCTTCATATATGACTTAGAATTTTTTTTATATCATCTTTATTCAATTCTAGTTTTTTGGGTTGTTATGTTAGTTAATAGAGCTGTTGAGATGAAATTTCCTGTAATAAATGCTGCCCAGACGCCTTGAGTACAGGTACTCGGACTTGGAGTATCAATACTGCATTAATTACAAAAATCTAGTAATTGCTGAGAGAGGAGTATCAATACTCTAATTAGAGTATCGATACTCAAAGAGTATTGGCACCAAAATAGCACACCGAAATTTTAATTTGTTAAAAACCTTAAGTATCGATACTCCGATTGGGAGTATTGATACTTCAGTGCATTTTTAGGCTATTAGTATTGATACTGGTATCGATACCATATGAATAGTATCGATACTACATGGTTAAAAATTGATTTTTAACTCAATTAAAATTTGAAACCTTTTGTAAAAAATGTTTGAAAATTAATTCCAGTATATGACTTGATTTTTGAAAAGAGTAAGGAGTTAAAATGAAGTTTTTGACTTTTAAAAGAAAATTTATATTCGAATGGTTGAATCAAATATAAGCTTGAAAATCAATTAAAAGTAATCTTAAAATTTCTTTAAAATAAAATTTACTTTTTGATATATCAAAATCTCAAAACATGGTTCAACAATCTCCTTTTTTTATATAACAAAACCTTTGAAATTTTTAAGATTTTCTTGAAATGACTACTCCCATTACTCTAACATTTATCTCCATTTTTGATAAATAAAAAAGTTTAAACAATATATAAATACAAGTTTTGAAGATCATATATGCCAAAAGAGGTTAGTCAACATAAATAATATTCTTAAGCAATAAACATGGTCATAATATAAAAATAAGAAAGTGTCAAATATTAGAAACCGTAACTCATAATATGCACCGAAATATCCATAAAAACATAAATATTAATCATCCAAAGACATAAAATATCTAAATCCAAAGACAACCAAATATCCAAACATCAAAATATCAAAGTATGAAAACACAATATCCAAAAATCATAAAACAATCCAAATAGCCAAAATAGAAAGCACAAATCGAATCCAAATGCAACCAACAACACAGTAGCAATCAATCATTCGAGGACGGAGAAGGTGGATCGACATTCGATGACGAGGCATGGAAAGACGAGAAGTCATGAGCAAGAGCCTCAACTCTACTCGACATCATGTCGATCCGCGTCGACAAAGTGTCAAACCGAGCATGATAATCGTGCCTCGAATCCATATACATCGATTTTAGGCTGAACTGCTGAAAGGAAAATGCCAAAATATGAGACTCCATAGCCAACTATCTAGAAGCAATCTCTGATACCTAATTCCCTAAGGCAGAGAAGTGAGACTCTATGGTAGCATACCATATATCCATCGCCTCCATGAAGGTCTGAAAGTAAGGAGAAGTCATACTCACATCCTCACCACCGACTTGAAGAGGACCAACATGAATGTGGTACACCATATCATCAACATCACGTATGGGATCATCGTTCTAAGGTTGAGCTGCTCTAAAGAAATAACCAATAGCTTGAATCCCTTTTCGTTTCCACTTATTTCGACTTCTTCCCATCTCGATTTTTGAAGAGATTTTAGGTCAATGAAGAAGGTCAAAGGAATAAAAAGATCATGGGAAACATTAATATTAGTTGTGACGAAAATATGGCTCAAAAGGCAACAATAAACTAAAGATTCGACTCATTTAGAAGGAATCTTGTTGACAGTGTCAACAAGCTCCCCAAACACTATCTGAGCAAAGATTATCCTCTTATTATTTTGGAATCAATGAAGCCACCAAATGTTGATGTCGAGGATGGTGGATAATTTACTTCCAGATTGTCAAAACTACCAAGAGATAATCAATGAAGGAAACGCTCATAAATGTCAAGGAGACTAACACTCGAGTTGGTTTAAAGGGAAGTAATAATGACGCCACACTCATTATCAATCCCAACTAGTTCTAGACCAAGTTCTATAGCTATGGTCGAAGCATCAATAGTGATGAATTTCCCTATAAGATAAGGGTAAATACTCTCAGTATGGGTTCTAGCTTCATTCTAGAGACAGACTGTATTAGAATAGAAAACGTGTATAAAATGCTGGTAGACAACAAGTTTGATTTTGAAAGTATTGCCTAATTTCCACTCAAAATCATCTGAATAACGATGACAAAGATTGGGCGACTAGGTTCGTTAATAGACGAGTTTTGGATAGTTAGCTCATTTTGGTCCGGATTCAGATTAGGAATAGAATTGAGATGAGGTACTCGAGAAGGTTGATCTCGAGAAGTACGGAAACGTTTAGACATTTTTAGGAAATCAGAATAAAGAGAACTGCAAAATAAAGCAATGTACATGTATGCTAACATCAATTCCCAAAACTCAAAATGAGTCAGCAATATTTAAGGCATTTGAGATCAAATGGAAAATAAAAATAATGGTCTTGAAATATATAAATGTGTGTGTGCATATATATATATATATATATATATATATATATATATATAAGAATGTTAATATATATATATATATATATATATAAGGTATGTAAATAAAAACATATATATATATATATATATAAATATGTATGTATAAAAAAATTTAAATTATAAGTGCAAACATAAATGTATATATATAAGTTATATATATACTAAAGAAACAAACAAATAATATAAAAATATATACAATGTAAAATTTGAATTGTTTTAATAAATTCAAATTTCTAATAAAATATAACAAAAAATTATAAATTAATAGTAAAAATCTATAGGTAATGATGCGAAAATGTTGTGTTTGACAAACCCATACATTAATTTGAAGTAATCTAGCATATAAAAAATCTTAAATTTGAAAATAAAAAATAGGGTTTTAGAAAAGTTTTACTCAAAATCCGACTAGGGGTATCGATACTGTAATATGAGTATCAATACTTCATGGCATAAAAAGAGAATATTGATATAGCAGTATCGATACCATATCAATGCCACAAGAACAATATCGGTATTATATGAACAATATCGGTATTATATGAATGATATTGGTATTGTATGAACAATATTGATACCAAATGCACCAAATGGTTAAAATTTTTAGCAAATAAGTCCAAATAAGTCATTTTTATCACAAATTAAACACATACAACACATATGACCATTTGAGACATAAAATTATGACCAAACATTCATTCATCCATATAAGGTTTAACAACAAAAACACCTATGAATGCTAAAGTTGCATGAATTTCTAGTTAAAGTGCACTAAAAGGTCAAAAGTCATAATGCATACTTTAGGGCATAAAAATGGTATAGAGAACTTTAAATAAACAATGAAAACATGTTCAAGTAATCAAATGTACATTTAGGCATACTTTGAACATTTTATTAATTTTAATGAAAAATCCTAACTTACCCTAACTAATTGCATAGCAGACATCAAAGAAACCATTTAGCATGTCTTTTTCATAAAATCACAAAAGTGCATAAATATTTAAACACAAAGGCAATGTAGGTTTTTAAGCCTAATTCTCTTCTAAGTGCCCAAAATCTTTCCTTATCTAAAGGTTTTGTAAAGATATCTGCTACTTGATGCAAAGTGTCTACATATTCAAGAATTATATCTTCCTTGGAGACATGATCTCTAATGAAATGATGTATAATATCAATATGCTTATTCCTAGAATGTTGTATGGGATTTTTGGTGAGACAAACAACATTACTATTGTCACATTTGATAGGAATAGTACCTACATCAATTTCATAGTATATTAGTTGTCGTTTCATCCATAAAACTTGAACATAACAATTATCAGTCGAAATGTATTTCACCTCAGTGGTTGATAATGTTACACTATTTTATTTCTTTGAAAACCATGAAATAAACATATTACCTAAAAAGAGGTGTTTTTTCTATCTAATTTACAACCTCCATAATTTGCATCCGAGAAGGCATGCAAGCTAAAGTTAGAGTCGCTAGGATACCAAAGTCATGTACTAGGAGTGTCTCTAAAGTATATAAAGATTATATTAATGGATTGTAAATATGATTCATTAGGACATGATTGAAGTCTAGATCATAAGCAAATACTAAACATAATGTTCGGTCTACTTGCAGTAAGATAAATGAATGATTCAATCATAGACCTATAAAGTTTAACATCTACACACTTACCTTTCTCATCCTTGTCAAGCTTTGTAGATGAGCTCATAAGAGTGACTTGGGGTTTCACATCCT